ATTTTTCATCATTTCCATGCATGAATTCCTTCTCTTCTATGGATTCTTACCTTTATTTTTACATTTGAACTAAACCCTAATTATTTTTCTAATTTTTTTCATTAGAAGGTTGATAAAAAATAATATTACTCTTAATTTCTTAAAGTATAACATCATATATATAATATTTATTAATCGCCGTGTCCCCGCCGTATCCGTTTCCTAATATTTTAGAATTTGCCATGTCCGTGTCTCGTATCCGTGTCCCGTATCCATTTCCATGCTTCTTAGATGCTATGTTTTACTTATAAATTATGATACAGTGCTTCTGCAAGGTCAGTCTATAATCCAGGTATGGTTGATTTTGTTGACATAAATGAAATTACTCGCTTTCACCTACTCTTATCATGTTTTGATTTGTTGATGGAATTTTATCTAATGATTTCTTCTTCTTCTTTATTCATTGTTTGTTTATTATTTATTTTAGCTACTTAGCCAATGACTTGCTTGGATCAATTTAAAGAGAGATGTTCTTGACACCACTTTCTTCTTTTCCATTTGCCCTAGCACATTGTTTTCTTGTTTGTGTATGTTTGCTTGTTTTTCTTTTTTTAGAAACTAAATGCATAACTGTTTAATTCATTTCTGAGTCACCTTTCATAAAATCTTTATATTCCATGGAGCATTATGGTTGGTTCCTCTCAAGTTTGGTTGAATTCCATAATTTTTGCTCCTAAAGTTAATTGGCTTTCGATGACTACACAGCAAGAGACCTACTGTGTGGACAGATACGGGTCAGATATTCATTATATACCTGCAATATATATTTCACATACTTTGAATATGCTGACTAGTTTACTCTTGATTGAAGTTCACATGATCTGATGGGTTGATGACATGTGGCAGCCTCTGATGTCAACCCTTTGGACACTGGAAACCAGAGCTCTCCGTTGCAATGCCATAGAAGGCATTCCTACCCCATGGATGTCTCTCAAGGATGTCCTTCAAGGAGCGCATGTTGAGGCATAGGAACATAGAAATTTGAACATGGCCTTTTCTCTTAAGGATTCGATGTGTGACTGTGCCTTGGTGGTATGATCTCGCCTTTGACCATAGAGAGAGAAAAAAACAATGATGTTTCTTGGACAGATGTCATGCTTAGTTGGTTCCACTCTGCATAAGCTTGTCATCAACATGCTGGCGCAGTTGCATAGGTGCAGTTTAAATAGGCCTGCAAGTTGACAATTATACCTTGGACCTCTATACAAGGATCTTTAGCCTTGTCCATTGCTAAATGTGCATTTTTGACATGTCACATGTGCATATAAGGATTCCAGGTAATCCCTATATGAATGCATTCATACAAATCGGGAATCCTGCACCACCTAAGGATCAACACGCTAATGACTAACTTTCACTGCTGACAATTAATGACCTCTGTATAAGGAACTTTAGCCTTGTCCATGGGTTAATATCCTGATTGTTAGTGTCCTTAAAATCATGAATCATGCCTTCTATGTCTGCTTTTCTCTCTGTCTATGTTTCTCTACAAGAGAGTCACCACACTAATGACTGTAACTTCCACTTTTGACACATCACATGTGCATTGAAGGATTCTAGGTATCCCTATATGAATGAATGCATACAAGAATGTGTGTAGACGTACTGAGTGACATATTTACATACCTAATTAAATGCATAACCACATGGATGCTGTAATGTTCCTCAATTTTCCATTTTTTGGGCATTTTTCGAAATTTCTGATTTATTTATTTTTGTGCCTCGTTTTGCGTGACACGAAGGTTCCGAGAGTGATTTGGGCTGGGAGGTCCTGGGTGGGTCCCGCACCCGGATTTTCACACTCGGGATTATTTTTCGGGGTCATTGCATTTTATATTATGTTATTTGGAGCGTATTTATGTGGTTATATGCTTAATTGTATCATGTTTAGTGCATATATATGAGAAAAGGGGCATTTTAGGCATTTCTTGGGTCAAAGTGAACCCCACATTTTGACTAAGGAATTAAAAATGGACTAAATGACCAAAAGTTGGTCATTCGTTTTCTTCTTCTTCCACTGAAATTGCACTCTCTCTCTCTAAAGTTGCAAGTTTCAAGCTTCTATTTCATCATCTTCCCTTATGATTTGAACTTTGCCATAGAAGGCTATGGCAAAGTTAACAAGCACGACGAGGGCTACGATTTGATCGGAGCCGATTTTCATTTGCGCCACTTTGGGATTTTCAAAAATTTGGGGCAAGCTTGGGGTTTTCTCTCAATTTTTGAGGTAGGGGTTCCTAAGACTTACAACCTTTGCTCTTGGTGAATTTCCCCTCTTTGAAATTTTGTTATGACATGTTTAGATGCGAATTTTGTTTATGGTTATTAGAATTTATAATTATGTGAAGCATGAAAAGGTGTTCTATGTGGCAAAGGCGTTAAATTGCATGTTTATTTTAATTATTGTGAAGGTATGTGCTTGGTTGATATATTGAGAGCATGATAATTGTTGTGCTTAATTACTCCCAATGCATGCAAGTATGGTTGTAAATTTAATGTAAGAGGATCCATGTTGACATGACATTGAAATTTATGTATCATTCATTACATTGACATTGGGTGAGGAATGGGGATTGATTTTGAATGGAAGGTAGATTTTGAAAGGAAAAATGGATTTTAAGAAAGTTTGTGAAAACCCGAACAGCAAGGAGTTACCTTGCGTCCGTGGCGTTAATGGAACCTAGAGGGGACGTAGGGAGACTGCCCTACACGTGGTTGAGTTGCCTAGGCCCCAAATGACGCTAAGGACCTTAGGTTAGGATAGTTAGCCAATCCTCCTCTCGTGGTGCCAGAGAGTCACCTCGGGCTGGGTTACATTAACTGTTTGACGGTTACGGTGTTGGAAAATATTTTTGGAAAAATGGGGAAAGACATTGGCATTGCATTTCATTGCATTTACGGGACTTGGATTATATGATGATTATTTGTTTCCCCAAATTAAGCATGATCCTATTTCCTTTATCCTATCCTTTTTATTGGATTCACGGGATTATTAAGGAGTGTGTTTTAGACACCTCCTACTGAGCTGTTGTGCTCACCCCTTTATTTGAGGCTTAAAGGCCCAAACTTGTAATCCTATTCTTTTGGGGACTACTTTGATGTATATGGGATAATGAATGTTAATTCAATGCAAGTCTAAGGCTATAAGCTATGTTTACATTTTGAGATGATTTGAGTGCTTTATGATCCACATGATATCTATGTTGATGTTGAATGCAAATAATTGGCAATTTATATTTGTCGTGAGTTGGGACTTGGGACAGGGCATTGAAGGTCAAATGACCAAAGGAAAGGACGGGGTAGGACTTGGGAACAGAAAAGGGCAAAAGCCCATTTTCTGATGGAGCCAGAGCGCTCGGAGCAGGTGTCCGAGTGCTCGGCTAGCATCCCTCGCACGCGCAGGCCTGCTCTGCGGGCGCGCAGTGGGGCACCTTGGGTGCCCTCTGAGAGCTCGGAAGGGACAGGCTGAGCGCTCTGAGCAGGTGACCTTGCTGTTTTTTTTTTTTTTTTTACCTTTTTCATTCACTCCGAGCTTCATCGTGTGGGTCCTACATGACCTTTAGGATGTACGGGACCCTATGGTCGTGTCCGGTAATGAGTAGAATGGCCTAAAAGGTCATTTTTACCCTTTTAAGCCCTAAAACGGGCGACTTCACAGCAATATGTTTTCCTTCAATTTCAAGTGTTTCCAAATGACCATTTTATGACTTAGAAGGTAGTTATAAGGCTCCCTATGCGTTGCACGGTCCAAAATGACCAAAATACCCTTATAACCCTAGTTGGACTGGTTTAAGGATTTAGTTGATTCTTTCAACCATAAGTGAACCAAATTGATTAGTAAGGAGTGTTAAGACATTATTATGGTCTTTAGTACGCAGTATTGGTCAAATAGACCATTTTACCCTTGGGTGGTTCCGGGTTGGGTCATGACCCGGTTAAGGTTTCGGGTCCCGGGTTTGGGTCGTTACAGATACAAACACAAAGGCACACTATTGCTCATTACTTTTTGTGAAACATGCATATTACATAATAGACTAACATTTTGCTCACACACACACACACACATATATATAAAATATTTGGAGTGCTTGTTGAATTGAATTTTTTGTAGTTTCTTGCAAGAAAATGTTAAAATTGATGTAAAGTAAAAATACAAATTTCATGCTATAGCATCAAAATTTGTGGAAGCTTCTCTCTCTCCCTCTCTCTACATGTATATATATATCTCTTTTTTCTATTTCTCTTTTGACTCTTTTATTCTTTTGTTGGACAGGAAAGCTTCTTCATCACATTTCTATAACAAGCACCCAAATCATCATTTGCATCTACTAGATTTATACATCCCTTTAATCCAATCTTTATTTGCCTTCTTTTTGTCAAAATATTGCTTAGCATTAATGATGAAGCTTAACTTTTAAGTAAAATTTTGAAGTATGAGTTTCATATATTAGGATGACATGATTAAAACTGGTGATTACTATTTAACTTTATAAGTAAAATTTTGAAGTATGAGTTTCATATATTAGGACGACATGATTAAAACTGGTGATGACTGTTTAAGTGTTTTTCTGCTTCTAAGTCATTGTTCTTCTGCAATCATTTTTCTTAGCTTGATATAGGTTTTGGGGAGCCTAATGAGGCAAAACCTTGGTTACACTGCTTGGTATATTCTTGCACACATTTGGAGTTAAACAGAAGCATTGCATTAAAAATTATAGTTTGTAACCCGTATAAAGGCATGCATAAGCAGATTTTTGGAGTTCTTGGTCAAGATATATTTTGCTACACTTGTGAATTATCTTTTAGCAATCAATTTGCAGATTAAATTTATTTTTACTTTCTTACTCATGAGAGTTATGCTCTTAGGAAGTGGTATTTTGATTTGCTTTTTCTTTTTTGGTTGTTCTGCTGATGAGTCATTTACAATTTTTTCATTTTCTTTTCTTATATTGGGGCTTTAGAAATGTAATCGCAGTACAAGAAAGCAGGATTATATTGCAACCCTTATTTCTCTATATGAAGATGGCTTATGGTATAAATGATTCTTTTTTTATTTCTTTATTTTTTTTTTTACTCAGTTCATTAATTAATGTAGTATGTCTTATGTTCTACTTTTCCATTTTGTTCTTCAATTGTTTGATCATGTAGCCCGCTCCTGCCAAGTGAGGTTCTGAAGAAAACAGAAGCATGTGTTCGAATATCTTCAACAGCTGAGTACCTTATTTGGCGTGCTGAGGTGAGTCCCTTATTTGGTGTGCGAAGCGATTTATTGAAACTTCATGAAGTGTTAGCTAACCTTGGATCTAATTTTACATTTTAAATTTTTTTCTGTTAATTTACTGCTTCATACAGAGGCTTTTCTTCCTGAACGGAGAGCAGGATCTGTCAGCTTTTCTACTTGTGGATCTGGGGGTTGTCAAGTATCCTAAGTACACATGTATAATCTCAGGCCAAATATTCTCAGAAAGACAGGACTTGCTTTCTTATGAAGAGGTATTGATGTATTTCTATGCAGAAACTTGAGATATTTTGTTAGCTTTACCAGATGTAGTATTCAATTATTACAGGCTCTTGAAGTGGCACAAATTATGGACGAATCCCTTAATGAAAACAACTTTGAGTTGGTCTTAAGATGCATAGAGATATCTGACTCCCGTTTACCCAGCTCTTCTACGGAGGCAACTCAATCTTCAAGTACTGAATCAATGGCTACTTTTCTTTCATGCTTTTCAGCTTCGTGGGTATACTCAAAGGTGGTTTTGTTGGGTGTTTCCTTTCTTGAGCATGAGCATAGGTATGTTCAGAAGTGCTGGTCGTGTTAACTGCTTTCTCCAATGCTTGTCATATTGAACTGATCCATGGGCTGACATTTTTCTTATTTTTTCTGTCCTTTTATTTATGTTTCAAGTATTATGTGAATTATGACATCAATTTTGCACTGGTCATCAAATGCAGTTAAAAGTTTAATAGAGGCTGGAATTGCATTGATATTTCTCAGTCCATGTAATAAGAAATATCAATTCAATTAAACTCAACTCAATTAAGCTTCGTCTCAACTATTTGGGGTCCGCTACATGAATACTTTTTCCTATTATTCTATGAACGTAAATTCTAATAATAATAAGAGAAGAAATACAAGATAGAATGAATAGGATAAATTACTCATTCACAGCTCTAGTATTTATATAGTATAAAAAGAGCACATGTTAATATTACAAGAAAGAAAATTAAATATAATTAATCCAAATTCTATGCCTAGACATATATGTAAATAAAGTCAAACTCCATGATTTAAGGATATCATATCTTAGCTAATATGATAAGTCATACCCCATGATTTGTGGCTATCATATATCTTGGCTAGCAATAAGAAATACATCTCAACTTCCAAAAAAATCTCAACTTCCAACAAAAAAAAAAAAAAAAAAAAAAAAAAAAAAAAGGTTTTTGTTCTTCTTTTTCTTCTTTCCCTCAATTGTTCTTGAACAGCAGGTAGAGCAAATGTATGGATTCAGTTGAAATTCAGGTCTAGGATGATTAAGGTTTGAACTTTGAAGAAGAAGAAAGAAGGGAAATAATAAGAAGAGGAAAGGGTGTAAAGGGTTTTAGGCTATGGCTGATATCTCTACATCCATGTATTTATATTAGTAAAAAATGAGATTTCCAATAGTACCCGACGCGGTAAAATCCTGCTAATTACATTCATTACACAAATATTCCCACATATTCCAACCCTGCCCTTCAAGTTGGTGCATAGATATCTCTCATGCCATGCCCAACTTGCTTATAATAGAATGGAAGGAATTACAACTCAAACCCTTGGTGAACACATCAGCTAATTGTTCTTTGATTTCATGAAGGGCATACAAATCATTCCATTATTCAACTTTTCCTTGATGAAGCGTCTGCCAGTCTCGATATGTTTCTTTCTATCATGTTGGACCGGGTTATGCACAATACTAATGGCTGTTTTGTTGTCACAATAAAATCTCATAGGTCCATCATCTTTAATACCCAAATCACTCATCAAGGTCTGCATCCACATGAGTTCACATACTCCATGAGCCATGTAAAGGTGCAATAACCAGAGGTGTCCATCTATGATCAACCGATCTTACCCTATTTGCGGTAAAAGCCTCCATCTTCAAATGTCCATGACTAGAGCAAACCTCAGGGGAGGTCTTTAGCTTTTAAGATTTCTTGGATTCCTTTGGCTGTGTACCCTCTTGTTCTAAAGCTTTTATTTTGCTAAATAATATATTTTTCTCTTCCTTAGTTTAGCAACTAGAATTGTGGAATTAGCTAGTTCTAAATATCCTTTTCAGATTCAAGTTCCATTGCTTTTAATTTATCAAACAATTTAGAAATTTCCAATTTTAGGTTGAGAACATCAGTATATGATTCAGCAAAATTAAGCCTACGAACGTGTCTTCTTAAGTATCAAATTTTGATTCATTATTACATGGTTTAGAATTTATCATTTCACTATTAGAGGCATCACAAGTAAGATAATCATTCTTATGGAAATTTATCTCTGTTTCACATTTAGTATCCTTCCTTTCCTTTGTTTCCTCTCCTTTTTCTTTCCTTTCTTTCATTTCCTTTTTCTTCTTTCTTTCATTTCCTTTTTCTTCCTTTTCTTTCTCTCCTCACCAGGTTATTGTTCTGGACAATTAATTGGCTAGAACGGGCGAATGGGGAGAAGTCAGCGTCAACCCTCTGAAATTTGCTCCTTGGGTTGAGGTTATGCTCCACACTATAAGTAGAAATATAAAAAGAAGAAAAAATGAGAAAATTGTGTAAAGACTTGAATGAGATGAATCACTCATTCATAGCTCTAGTATTTATAAATAAAAAGAGCACATGCTCATATTACAAGAAAGGTAACTAAATCAAATCTAAATCAAATCACAGCATATTATATAGCATAATCAAATCTCTGTTAATATGGTAAGTCATTCCATAAATCGTGGCTATCATATATGCTAACCCTCTCCCTCAAGTTGGTGCGTGGATATCTGAAACGCCCAACTTGGACAATGCATTCTCAAACACAATCTTGCGGACGCCCTTTGTAAGAATGTTTGCAAGCTGCTGAGAGCTTGTGACAAATGGAGTGCAAATTTGACCAGAGATGATCTTCTCTCGAATGAAGTGACGGTCTACCTCTATATGCTTAGTCTTGTCATGCTGAACGGGATTTGCTGCTATGCTAATGTCGTAGTAGAGTGAGAATGGAAGTGACGCTGGATGGCACAAGTCTGTCATCAAGGTTTTCAACCATAACAACCCACATACCCCAAGAACCATAGCCCTATATTCTGCCTCTGCACTAGATCGAAGACAACATCTTGCTTCTTGCTGCGCCAAGTAACCAAGTTACCAACAATAGTGGTACAATAACCCAAAGTTGACCTCCTATCTGAAACTGATCCTGCATAATCAGCATCTTTCCAAGCCTCAACACGTAAGTGACCATGATTGGCAAACAAAATACCACGGCTCGGACACCCTTTTAAGTAGCAAAGGATCCAAATAATTGCATCAAGGTGAGGGGTACGAGGAGAGTGCATGAATTGATTCACGACACTCACGGCATAAGCAATGTCAGGTCGATTCATGGATAAATAGATGAGCTTCCCCACAAGTCGTTGATACTGACCAACATCTGACAACAACTCCTCAGAATCAGCCAACCAATGATTCTGCTCAATCGAAAGTCAAGAAGCAGAAAGCAAGTCAAGAACATACTTGCCTTCAGAGATGAAAATGCCAGCCTTGAAGCGAGCTACCTCAATGCCCAAGAAGTATCGTAGGGGACCAAGATCCTTAATTTCAAACTGACGGCCAAGATAGCTCTTAACCTCGGCAACAATTGTATCATCTCTGGTAAGAACAATATCATCGACATACACAATGAGAGCAATTGTCTTACCGCCTGAATGACGTAAAAACAAGGTATGATCAGCTGCACTTTGATGGAAACCAAACTTGAGTATGGCAGTGCCAAAGCGATTAGACCAAGCTCGAGGAGACTGCTTGAGGCTACAGAGAACGACGAAGACGACATACCATACCAGAATGAGCAGAAGAATGAAAGCCCGGAGGAGGAACCATATTCACCTCCTCCTGCAAATCACTATTGAGAAAGGCATTCTTGACATCTAACTGAAATAGAGGCCAACATCGAATCGCAGCAACGGAAAATAATACACGGATGGTATTCATCTTGGCAATAGAGGCAAAAGTCTCCTGATAAGCTATGCCATAAGTCTGAGCATAACCATTGGCACCTTGTAACGAGCAACTGACCCATCTGGACTATGCTTAACTGTAAACACCTAACGACAACCCACAACCTTTCGTCCAATAGGAAGCGGAACCATGTCTCAAGTCTGATTTTTCTCAAGTGCTTGTAGTTCTTTTGTCATAGCATCATGCCATTGAGGTTGTGCTAGTGTATCTGCAACAGTAGAAGGAAGAAGAACTGAGGCAACAAAAACAAGAAAACTCCGATAGGAGGGTGAGAGAGCACAATCAGAAACAAAATTAGAAATAGGGTATGTACAAGAACGTTTATACTTTCGAAGAGCAATGGGGCGATCATCAAGCGAAACAATAGCTTAAGAAGGCAGAGCTGGTGTCAAAGGAACAGGGCAGTCGATCGTGGGAGTAAAAGCTTGTACCTGTTGTCTCCGACTATAAACCTGTGGAAAAGGAACAATTCCCCTTGCTGGAGGGGTATCACGAGGAGGAATCATAGAAGACGGAACAGGTAATGGCAGAGGAGTTGAAGACGAAAGAAGGTGATCATCCATTATATTCAATGGGAACCATTCACTTTGAGAACCAATTGAACCGTTATAGTATGATGTATGCGCAAAGAAAGAAACATCAATGGATATAAACCGCCGACGACTGGGAGGATGGTAACACCTATAACCTTTTCGAGAGTGAGAATAGCCCAAAAACACACACTTCAAAGCCTTAGGGTCAAGCTTTGTACGAGTCTGCCCCAACTACTGAAAAGCACATTTTTGAAGACTCGCGGAGAAATTTTAAAAAAATTAATGAATTGGGATGTAAGATTGAGAGTGGGGCTGCAAAGTTAAGAACCCTAGGAGTCCTATTAATGATGTAAACAGCTGTAAGAACTGCATCTCTCCAAAATGATTAGGGAACATTCATGCCAATGTAGATTGCTCTGGCTAAGTCAAGGATGTGGTGATTCTTTCTCTCAGAACGGCCATTCTACTGACGAGTTTTAACATTAGCCATCTGATGCTCAATCCCAAATTCTGTACATAACCGCTGTACCTCCCCATAAGTGTACTCCGTACCTTAGTCAAATCTGAATTTTTTAATAATATTGAGTCTAAACCATTGTCATAAAATTTTAAAAAATGGTGTACACCTCATTTTTTGTTTTCATAAGATAAACCCATGTAACATGACTATGATCATTAATGAACAACATGAAATATCGAAATCCAAGACTAGAAGTAACTGGGTAAGGACCCACATATCTAAATGAACAAGATCAAAAAGTGTTAAAGCAGATTTATTACTACTAGCAGGATAATTGGAACGAATATGTTTAGCCATATGACATGTCTCACAGGATAAATCTGGCACTGCCACGCTACAAAATAAGGAAGGAAATAAATGTTTTTATTGAAGATTTAATGGAGGAATCAGTGGAGAAAAATCTTTCAGTAATTGATGTTGTTTCCTATTATTGAAGATTTGGTGTTACTAGAGGAATCAGTGGAGAAAAATCATTCTTGTTTCCTA